CAGAAACTGAAGATAAAATATGGAGAAGCAGATGAGACACGGTTTACTGATGGACCCGTGATATTAGTCAGACCAAGTAAACAACATGAAAACACGGATCCATCCTGCCTTGTATCAAAGGTTCAGGCTGCTGGTGGTGTGATGGTGTGGGGGAAACTTTGGGCCTCTTAGTACAAACTGAGCTTCGTTTAAATGCTACGCTCTACCTGAGGATCAAACTGGCTTCTTGCACGATGAGTTCACTACTCAAACGGCCTCCACAGTCACCAGACCTCCATCCGACGCAGCACTTTTGGGATGTGGTCGTGGAACTGGAGATTTACATCACTGCTGTGGAGTCATAAATCTGCAGAAACTGTGTGTTATCATGTTAACATGTTAAAAAGATGAAGAAAAGGGCGCCTGACCCACTGCTGTCGACGTTGCTCTAACAAAGCGTTCAGCGCACAGAAGCTCAAGGAACACGGTTTCATGTTGTTTGGCACTTAAACTACAACATTGTGCAAACAGGTCACAGTGACTTGTGGGGAAATTTATTGCAAAAGAAATTCTGCTATTTGATTTTTATACTAGAATGACACAATTATAATCATTTTTTAAAAAGTGACCAAACATGAATAACCTTTAATCTGTTTAAATGCCAAAAAACTAACAGCTTTGTTTTGACACAACAACAGAAAAAGGCTAAAAGCATTGGAAACAGCAAATGATGCCAAACCGTCCACTAAAAAGAATAATGTATGTACTAAAGCACAAACAAAAAGATTCAAAAAGCTTTGGTGACCCCACAGTGCTCGAATCCAGTATTTAGTTTGATATATCCTTTGAACTGACAGGAAATCGATATTTGGGTATAGAAGTGTAATCGCACATCATGCGCCCCTTCCAGATACAGAAACTACACAAAAGTAGCCAGACAGGCGCAAATTTAAGACTTCACTAAATATTTCATTTTAATGTGGAAATGAAAAACAGAAATACTAAAATCCCCCCCCCCACACACACACACCCACCCATTTCATTCCTTCACTCAAAGAGGGCTCTCCTCTGTGGTTGCCATAGTAATCCCAAAGCCAATAACAGCCCTAACCCTTTCCTCCTTCCAGCAAAGAAAGCCAGAGATGAAAATTGCCCCAATCAAATTTGCCCCAGCAAGCGTAGGTTCTCATTTCTGACGCCATGTCACACCCTGAACCTTGCACCCAATACCAGACCTTTAGCCTGCACTGTGTCTCCGCCATCATACCCCCACCCACCTCCACCCTTATTCAGGAGAGGACAGCATTATAAATCAATTTACAAGCTGGGAGAGACATTGGGCAGACGATGGAAACGAATGATGGCAGATGAAGCATATTGGAAAACATTTTCTTTCCCCTCACTGTGAGCGGGTGAATGCGTTGGTACCACCTCGTGTGCAGCTGGCCAAGAGAAACCTAATCGTATTTTTGCGTGTGCACGTGCGATGAATTAGAGAAAGGATGGGAATAATAAGGAGAAAGGAAGGGTTAGTGTGAGTCTGCTGCTTGTGTGGATTTGTGAATAATAACTAGTGGAAATGTGCAATCATAGCTGGCAGAGCTGTTTGCGCTAACTCAATTTCTGAATGAGGTGGTGGAGGAGAGGATACAGAAAGTGCTTACACTTGTGATTCTCCATCAGTCACTCTGACACCAGCTTACATGAGTGGATATGTGTATGTCAGCTTGGTGTGCTGTGGCTTCTGTGAATCTCTCCTTAAATCATGAGCAGATGTTCTAGAGCCGAAAGGAGAGATGCTAAAAATCAGACCTGTGACCACCGAGACGTACCGCTCCACTGATACATGCATGAAGGGATCGACCATTAATTAAACAGTATAAAAGGCGGGCGTAGCCACCATGCGATCACCCACTTATTTTAGACTTTTTGGAAATCACCGTGTTTGTTTTTGAGGTCTGAAGTTGGCTTATATGGATAAAAGGGTGCTAATTTATCAGCAGGCTTCATTAGCAAACTGAATTTATAAACCATATGGGTGCAATAGACAGACACACATGTGCTAATTCGCGCTAAGTAAACATAAAGGCAATTTTAGAATTTCACACACCAAAACCAAACTACAAACATCTGGGATTGTCTGCACCGTACAGCAGGATATAATATTATTCCGAGAATCCATTCAAATGTTCCAAAAGGCGCTGACAGCACAAACACAGCGAGGAGGTTTAGTTCGGTGACTCGAAGCAGCAGATGAGGCCAGCGGACACTAATCGGCTCCAACTGCCTTTGTGAGGACACCTGTGATTATCCAGGTGGATGATTTAGGTAAAAAAACAAATTCACAGATGGCCAAGGCCAAATCTGTTGGTTAAGACTTTTGTACTGGGCTATAAAAAAAAGTATTTTAATGCATTTTCATATGGGAGACTATGGAGATTTTCTTTTAACCATATTAACATAAAGAACTAAGTAGAAAACTTTGGTTTTTGAAGGCTCTCAGTTGGTCTAAACCAGGGGTGGGCAATTCCAGGCCTCGTGGGCCAGTGTCCTGCAGGTTTTAGATCTCACCTTGGATCAACACACCTGAATCACATGATTAGTTTGTTACCAGGCCTCTGGAGAACTTCAAGACATGTTGATGAGCTAATTTAGCCATTTAAATCAGCTGTGTTGGTTCAAGGACACATCTAAAACCTGCAGGGACACTGGCCCTCGAGGCCTGGAGTTGCCTACCCCTGGTCTAAACCATAACAAGTATAAAAGACGAATGTAGCTTCTGGATCTTAAAAATGAAGCTGTAGACAAAATGCTCCTTAAACCTACATCTTTTAATGACCAGCAGGGAGTCACTCCTTAGCTCCTGTGCTCGGTGACCTCCGTAAACACGCTCCTTGCTCATCAGGTCCAGCTTAAAAACACCAGCATGGTCACAGTGATAATGCTCAGCTCAAGCATTCACAGGGGACTTTATTAACTGCTGGGTGATGTCACAGTGGCTACATCCTTCTTTTAAACTATGTGTGAGCCAGGCTTGAAATGATACATCAAACTGGTGTTTGTGACCTGAACAGGAGTTTTAGTATCACCACAGTAATAAAAAGCAGAAACCATTAGTCACAGCTCAATTTAAAGGTAACAGTGATAAGAAAATTGAAATTGAATAGGCAAGAGAGAGAGAGAGTAGTTTAGATAGCTGCCATAATCCAGACTTTAGTTTATTTGTCTGTCTGTGCGGTGGAAACACCTCAATCGACAATATTTGCTTGCCACCTCCAGTGTCCAGTTACACTTTTCACACAAACACAACAAGGGTGGCACCTCGACAGGTAGGCAAACAGCTCAAAACAGAGCATGCAATAAACTGAGATGCCTCAGCATTTCACCACTGAGGCCACGGATGTTCATCTTGTATGCCTGCCTTAGAAATGCAATGGCAAAAGAGTTTTTAAGAAAACACAAGTGACGGAATAATAAATGACCTACCAGGCAACAGGTTTGCTCTAATCCAGTATTATTCAGGTTGATGGATAATCTTCTTGCAGGTTGTTGTATTTCTATAATGTCTGATCTCCCATAATTATCAGGAGTTAAACTAAAGAAATGCTTCAGTGGCTTTTCTCCATCCTGCACTGTTTGTAAGCCATGTCGGCTAATGTTAGCCATTAGCTAAGCCTTGTGTCATAAGGTTGCCAGGTTTGGCGTTTGTTTTTTTTTGTTGTTTTTGTTTTTTTAAATTAGGCAATATAAATTTGCATTTATTTATTTTTATAAACACTCAGAAATTCATATGTCAGTCAAATTATTTAAATGACACGAAGCTAAACAAATTCATTTAAGTTTATTAAAGTACAAACGTTTCATTGCAGCTCTGTGGTAAAGACCTATAACACCTGCACGCTTTTTTCCCCGGTTATGTAACAGACACTTTGATTTACTGTTAATGCTGAAACGTCTCTGCAACTATTGACTTAATTATAGGAAAGAATTAACAGTTACAGTGCAGATCTCCTTATTTATGGCATCTAGCAGTGTGTGGTGGTTGGAGCACTCCTGCTCTACATCATTATTTACCATGAAAGCTGCCTTGGTCCTCAGAAGATTCGCTGACTTCTTCCTTCAGTTTCTCAGGGTACTTTTGATGATATGTTCTCACTTCGCTCATCACATAAGATTCAACCTTTGCTTCACTTTCACCAGTTGGGGTGAACAGAAACTTCTAAAACCATCCCACCAAATGTAAAAAATAAATAAATTACTGACAGAAAACTATTTGTAGAGCTGAGGGCAGCTGTAGATTTGTCTGTTGACTCATTCACTTTGGGTTCATCACAACAAGCGACCACTAAGCATGCAGAGGAACACAAATGTGACATTAGCATCACTTATTACCGGCGTATGTAACAGCTCATGTCTCCGAATGTTTCCCACGTGCTTCCTCTCCAAACAAACAAATCCAAGACTGACTCCTCCCTGAGGATAATGAAGATGGAAAGATTGTGCAGTATTTTTACACTGCAATTACAGACAACACATCAGAGATAAGAGGTTTAATGTCTCTTTCTATATATACCCTATGCCTTCACATATTGCTCATTCTGAATCATTAAGAAGATGCATACAGAGCAACAACTGAGCAAATACGGAGGCTTGAAATCAGGGATGTGGGATTTTAAGGAGGAAAATTGGGATTACTTTGAGAAAGCAGGAGAGTTGGGCACATGCCTTTCATTATTTCATTATTGCATTATAGAGCATTTACTTTGAGGGAAAACTTCAGGACCGTATGGATGCTTTCATTCTTCCAGTCACATGCACCTTGCAAATGAAAGGTCTGTACAAATGTATGAACATTTACTACATCTACTGTAACTAGAGTTGAGGTTTTATTGATCAAGAACCTCAGCCCATGCTCAAATATCACCTGAAGTCAGAGCACTCATTAACATCAAACCAATAACAAGATAAGAAGGAGAATTCATTGAATTTCACTTTTAATTAAAGTTTTTCACACCCATTAACACAGCAACTGGAGAACATCTGTAAGTGGCTGAAGCGTCACAGTATAAAAATCTCTACCTGCACAGGTCCAGAAACACAACAAGAACAACAACTGCACATGGAAACCAACTTCCACCAGAGAAATGAAGGAATTCGATATCAAGTAACGGACCGGCACTTTGCAGCTGCATTTTCCAGAGCGAACCTGTCAAGACAGGAAGACTTGAGAAACACAGTGTATTTAAAATAAAATAAAATAAATATATATATCTATATATATATATATACAGCATATTTTTCAAGCAAATCTTAGCAAGAAGTGTGACTAAAGTCAGCGTCAGTATAATATTCAGCTCAGTCTCTCTCTCTCTCTCACACACACACACACACACACACACACACACACACACACACACACACACACACACGCACAGGTATTGACACTTTTCTCAATTCTCATTTTAAATGTCATCAGTCAGGCCTCTCTGGCCTGTGTCTAATTAAACAGCTATTGAGTGCAGAAATATACAGACGGATTTCCACCACAACAGCAGGGTGGATAATGGGAAAGTTAATTGTAGTAAGTTGATTCTGGTAATTCCTCTGCTGATGTAATAAAGGTTAGCTGCACAGGCGCAGTGGCGATTAGAGATGCTGTAGTTTAATACCCTGACAGCTGCTGGGTAAACTGTCGTAACATCTGGTACGTATGGTGTGTTCGAGCTTATTACTGTTGTTTTTTCAAGCTCCATCATCAGCTAGCTCTTTCCTGGTGGTTAACTGCTAAGTTGTGACATCAAGGAAGAATTCAAACAGTGGTCTGACATTTTCCCTGAATGTCAAAGTTAAGATGAATAACTCGAGTCCTGTTGGCCTCAGCTCTTGCCGTCTTTAGGGGTCCCCATCGCAGATCATCTGCCTCCATCTCACCTTATCTCTGTCACATCATCTTTCTGCTTCTCCTTTACTACATCCACGAATCTCCTTTGTATCTTCCTCTTTCCCTCCTGCCCAGCAGCTCCATACTCAACATCCATTGTCCACAATATCCACTATCCCTCCTCTGCTCATGTCCAAACCGCTCAACCCTCTGCTATACTCATTACTAATCCTGTCCATTCTGATTACTCCTAATGAAAATCTTCAACTCTGCCACCTCTGCCGCTTGTCTTTTTGTTAGACCACACATCATAGCAGATCTCGCTACCATCTTATAAACCACTCGTCTCCACCATTTCCACCCCGGCTCCGCGCTCTTCTTCCCCTTTCTTGTGCACCGTTCATTGTTTTGGATGACTGACCCCAGGTATTTACACTCCTCTACTCCTTGCGATTTCAGTTCAAAATATCATCCAAAAGCTGACAAGAAAATGAAGCGAGTCAGATGTGAATAATAAAAGATTCGGGTAAAATATTCTTCAGAAAAACTTTTAAAACCCCAGTTTGTACTTTGGTTTGCATTCATTGTGATAAAAAATAATTAACTGGTTGAATTTATTTAAGTTACAAGATGTATGTACTGATGAGGGTCTATCTCACAATTTGCAGAGTATGAACCTGTGACATATTAACCGAGAACAGCACAGCCCATCCAAGCAGAAATACCAGATTAAAGGCATTGTTTTCAACTCTATTAAAAGATAAACCACATGAAAACAGTTATAAAAATTGAACACACTCAAACACACCCTCCATATATTAGCTGCAGTTTTATATACACATTAGTGTCTGCAGGAAATCCTCACCTATAGCACAAGGAGAGCCACAACAGCACAATAAGAATCCACTGAGATTTAGTACTGAAACTACTGGAACATTTTAGGCATGCAAAAGAAACATCGACAACCAAACAATTTGGAAGTTTGAGTAAAAGAAACAACAACAAAGTCTACAAGCAGGCACTGTATGTTGCACACAAGTATGCAGCAGGGATTGCAACAGATCACAGAGTTTCACGCCATAACAATCCAACCAACAGAGTCACTGTATATGAAGCACAACGATAGTGGTGCTACAAGTGAGCTACAAACACCAGGTGAGAGCGGTCCTCGTATAATTAAACGAAGCTTTGGGTGGACGTGTGAGGAACTCTCAGTAATTTGCATCAGTCTGATGTCTCTGACTTATTTTCTTTGTGAAGTCGCTCTCCTCTGCTGGGCACTCGAGGTTGCAATCACTTCCAATTTCTTCTAATTCTTCAGAAGGACGACAGAGAACAGCAACAGAAGGCGGGGCGGCTGCTCCCGTTAAAGCACACAAGGTTGTTCTCTCGACATCTCTTTCCTGACTCGTCTGCTTCCTCCCCATCGGACTTCATTAAAGATGAAACTGTATATCTGAAAATGTCTGTCATAAGCACTTCTCCCTCGCTGGTGCATAATTAGCATTTCACAGACAAGTGTATATACACAATACAAACCCAACATACATCGAAGAGTCGTTTCAAAGCATTCAGTTTACAAAATACGACATAGAAAATTAACAACTTTAGACGAAAAAAGGAAAAAGAAAGGAAATCAGGCTCAAAACACACACACACTCACGTACACCCACAGTGTAAGGCTTTAGGGTTTAATTAATCCTTGCACACATCATGCAAAGACCAGCGCCATGTTCACACTGTGCAGCTGGTACTTGCTGTGACACAAGTTTTCTAATCTGCTCAAATGAGACATTGAATAAAGTTACACAATGCACAATGGTATGATCGTTTGTCTACTGCCAACAAGGCAAATGTACAGTACAGTGCAAAAGTCTCAATCCACCCTTCATCTCTTTATTCATTTGCTCCCAAGGAGACAGGCTTTCGTGTCATTTTTAAGGTGGCCTTGAGCAACAGTTTTCCTTTGGCAGCTTTTTCACTCATCTTCAGTCCAGTCCTTGTACCTGACCATTTTCAGAGTCTGTTAAGCCACTGACCTATGTGTCTACACATAAAAGACGAATTTAGAAATGAAGCGATTTTAAATAAGTATATTTTGGTACTTTGTTACTAGCGGCTGATCACACAAACCATCGTTTGCTCACATCTTTTTTAGTTGAAAGGCATACTGTCCTACTGGGCATGTACGGATACGGGGCTACGTTTTAACTAGGATCTTGTCAAAAATGATGGAAATGTGAACACAGAAAATCACCACTAGGTTTCAATCCACCGTACAGTACTATCTGGAAAGCATCTGATCGTCAAGAGCTTCATTTTTCTACATGACAGTGATCCCAAACACACCAACAACGCAGTGAAAGCATACTCGGGTAGAAAATTAAGCTGTACTATCAGTCATGGGTTGGTCTCTCCAGAGCCCAGATCAGAATTAGTGAAGCAGAGTGGGATCAGTCAACATCCAAAGGACAGCTTTGAATGTCCTGGAGAACTATTCCTGAAGACCACTTAAAGAAATTAGCAGAAAGCTTGCCTTTGAGAGTTCCGGCTGTGTTGATGAATATAAAGTGTTCATAGCAAATATTGACTTTTAAGCTCCTTAGAATTGCACACTCTCAGTTTTTGCCTCGTATACTGTTTTTCCACTTATGTTTGCACGTTTTAACAAATCACTGCACTTATTTCCCATTTTCCTTAAAAGGATAAAGAAATGAGGGGTGACTATTGGACAGTACTGTGTTGTTGCATAAATTTATAAATTAAAAAGTTAAAAAGTTCGACTTTCTTGTCCTGCTGCAAACAGCAAATCAACACTTTGTCCAGTGTAAACCTTACATTCACTTGTAATAATCAAACTAGAAAATGTCCTTTACATGCTACTATATTTAAAATGAGTCCTTTTTTCATATCTGTTGAGATTTGGAGTAAACAATGAAGAGTGAAGCGACCTGGAATGAAATTTTAAATGAGGGAAAGACCATTTGAGTATTTGCCTGCGTTTTTTATCTTGTAGTTCAGAATTACCAACTGGTCTTGGAGTCGATGTCGATGTTTAATCAAGGTGCCCACACTGGACTTGACTGCATGTTGACGGACTGTTATTAACTGGAGTGCCCACACCGCTATTTCATCACAGTATAAGGATTTCATCAACCAGATAAATATGTATATCAAATATACTGCAACCAGTTTCCCTTGCTGCTCCACTTTCATTAACTCATAGCTGTGTTTCATACGGTTACAGACATGACTGGAGGCTATTAAAAATATTAAAATCCAAAAACATTACTGCTCACTAATAAAAATCTCATTTTAACAAGTCATTTCTGTCTATAATTAAGCTTAAGGAATATTTTAAGGTGAAGAAATCTGCTTCTAACATAAGATTTTTTTCATGGATAGTGTCCGAATCTTGCTCTGCAATCAAAATAGATGAGAAATGATTTGTTTACACCTAGGCTATTTTTCATATTTTGCATGCTTGTAAGAATACAGGTGGTTTTGCTCTGTTTTGTTCAATGACGTGTCAAAAAGACAGCGACAAATGCTTTCTTTAAAATGTTTGATGCTGAAGGAAAGGATTAAACACGGGTGGTTATAAACTCTACAGACATCGTTTCCCCACATTTGTAAATGTTCTGTAACGTTCAGTTATCCTTAATTGTATCGTTATAACATAGACTTTAGTGTTTCTTACAAGATCAATCGTATTATAATTGTACTTTTTGATGGGCATGTAAATGTGGGCTGCTCTGGCAACTGGGATCAAAGGGTCATTTGCACATCAGGCTCTAGTGCCACTTCAAAGCTCCCACCGTTTCACAAAAGCATCTCTGTGCCCGTGCAGCACATGGCGAGATGGGGAATCGCATCCAGTGCTGCTGCGGATTTCTGCCACATTACAATAATAAAACCGTGGCACGCACAGATGAGCGCAGTGAAGCACAGGTGTCCTCCAACCTTTGAACCGGAGCTGGCTGGGAGACCCGGCCAGAAAGAAAACCTTTCATGTGTCAAATTCAACCGTTGCTGTTCAGCCCAGCTTGGTTTAATGAGTGTTCATTAATGGGAGAGGGAGTTAGGCAGAGCTTGGGATGATAAATCCTTGAGGTGTCCACATATCGGCTACATCTGGGTTATTTAGTGCTCTTAGTGTTTATTTAGATTTATTAAAGCTGATGTTCCTTATGGGATTGGTTTTCATTCTTGGAGGTCCTTCCCTGTCTTCTCCCTTTGTCTTTATGGTCACTGTTAGAATAAATAAAACATAGAAACCAGTGCAAACATCTAATTTAAGCTTAATCTGTATCCTCGCTCTTTGCCCCCCTTTGACCTTCAGTTCCTGGAGCTTTAAACCCCTGAGAGCAACTTCCCCAGAGGCACCTCTCGCTCTCCCAGCAAGGTGTCCCTTTTGAGGCTGGTGCCTTTATTCACCACCTTGAACTTCACGGAGAGGCTCTTCACCTGAGTCGAACTTATGGAGTCGAAGAAGAAGTCCTCGTTAAAGACCGGGTTGCGGCTGTTCTTGATGATGTTGCTCCTTTGCTTCTGCAGCTTGCCCGGGTTCAGATAGACAGACACGCAGCAGTTGATGCTCTTCATGTCGAAGTGCTTGTCGTACAGACTCTCCGCCGCCAGGACGCGGATGAGAAGGCGGGAGGTGCTGGAGTCGTAGTTGACGCTGATCCGCACTGTCCCGCCTTTGTGCAGGTTGATGGTGTGCTCCCGATGGAGGCCGTGGTCCGAAGCTCCAGCGCCGCCGTGATAGGTGGGGACGTGGAGCCGTCGCTGGACGTTGGGGCTGGGCTCGGCCGAGCTGCACTCGTCGGTGGAGAGGGAGCTGTGGCGCGCGAAAGTCCGCTTGGCTTTCACCACTTTGGCCTGCGTCTCATGGGTGAAGATCTTGAGCAGGGACGCGGAGCGAGAGAGCAGAGGGGAGCTGAAAGGGGAGGACTCGGCTGAGGAGCAGGTGTCGCTCTCTCCGCCGCTGAAGTATCGGTAGGGATTCATGTGAGAGGTGTTAAAGTCAGCTGGATTCAGGTGGTTTCCCGTGTCGCTGCTTCTGCCCGGAGTCTTCCTCTGCGTATTTGGGGAGGTGATGGGACTGGTGAGCTCGCAGTGGAACAGCGACTCTTTACGGCGCGTGTGGGGGCTTTCCTTCAAGGTAGCAAACCCGTAGGACGTCTGGGTCTTGGGGACATAAGGCAGAGACATTGCAGTCTGCGACTGGGGGTCTGCGTTAGTGTCTCCAGCCACCACATCATCAGCACTCTCTATCTGTATAATGTGGCGGTTTGCAGCTCTCAGCAAGTTCTTGGTGTCTCCTGCAATCTTGGCTACCAAACGTGGGCTTCTCGGACTGCTGATCTTCCCACTACCGATGGTGTGCTCAGAAGTGGACGGGTGCAGGCCTTCTTTGGGCTTTACGGCGGGGATCTCGGGCTCTGTGGGGCAGCTCACCAACTTCGGAGGAATGAAAAAATCTGGGATCCTGTCGGGGGTGAGGACGTTGCTGTAGGTCGGGGTGCCACCCTTCTTGTCCCCGTTCTCCCCCTGTCGCAGAACACCACTCTCCACCGACCCGCGGATCTTATCCAGAACCCACATGGTCCCCACTGGAAAGTGGGATGTGTGGAGTAGGTGCAGTCAGGTGTGTCTGCAATTAATAACACACATGGGTGGGCGGGGAGAGGGAGAAGGGGGGGGGGGGGGGGGGGGGGGGGTTAAACGATCAGAGCGTCACTCCACGGAGAGAAGAGGGATAAAAATATCACCTGAGTGCTTTCGCGCTGAAACGCAGTCTGTGATTAGGACCGCAGGCGTTTACAGGAACAAGACTTGAGTAAACAGGAAATATTATAGCGTTATCACACTGAACCTGAGCTTAACTTTCTGTTTAGTGTCGAACATACGGACAAACCCTTCTTTAAAAAGGTTTTCTAGGCTTATAAACAATAGGAGAGAATCCTTTGAACGGACAAAAGACAGAGCATTACTAAAAATAAAATAAAATAAATCCATCTACATTAAATCTCCAACACATGGAATAAAGTCTTTGTGTAGTTTTTAAATAACAGAGTGTCTTTACGGACTAACGCAATCAGTCTGCGGATAAATCAGCAACAAAGGATTTACTTCTCGATTTCCGATCGCACGGTCACGTTTTAATGAGCAAAATTTAAAAGTGCATTCTTTGAATTAGAAACTCTCCCTAATGATGTAACTGGAAACTTTTAATTTGCACTTATGCTTTAATCTAATTTAATTTCAGTTCCGGGAAGACGACAAGAAAAGAAAAGCTCACAAATATAAATTATTTTACCAAATGCATTAATAACGCTCCTGCATATAGATATTCGATACGTTTCGACATTGAACGATCACATGAACTCGTTTTTTAAGAGAAAAACTCAGTAATGAAAAGACAGTTCAACAGGTGCCTGCATGTTTCCTCTGGTCTGCTTCGAAAAGCTCAATAATGTTGATATCTGTGCTATGTAATAAAATTATGATACTTACAGCAATACAGAGGAAGACGCAGTCCTCTTTTTTCACTTTGCTTTCGTTTCTTCAGTAACAGGTGTGCTTTTTTCCCCCCTCTCTCTCAACCTCTCACACACACCTCGGATAAGTCTGTGCGCTCCGTGGCGCTACTCTGCGCCCTCACACGGTCTCGGCTCCGGAGCGCCTGTGGTGCGTTTTATAGATGGCACACAGATGCAGCTGACCAATAAGATCAAACTGTGCGTTTCCGCAGAACCAGCTAGAAAGAACACCAGTTGCTCCTGTGAGGAAAGGAATCATACAGGTTGGGTTTACATGAGTCCCCAAGAGTCACTGCAGTTAACTGCCGGGGTTTTCTTTTTAACCTTTGCGCACAGCACTGAGGTTTTATGTTCCAATCATTCATTCTCTCTCTCTCTGCATATATCCATATCTATCTCTATAGAGATAGATATGTACATGGGGCTGTTTGACCAGAAAAAAGCACAAGCAGACAATGCAACGTGGAGCATATGCAACTGTGTGCTGGTCCAATTAACTTTAGACTGACCTTTTTTTAACTCTTCTTTTGTGTGTGTGTCTCTCTCTCTTCGCGTTTAACCCGACCTATTGGTCTCCCTGGAAACTTTGCTATGGCAACAAATACATTTGTCTAAAATAGGGCTGACTTCATTGATCTGCAGCACAAAAGGCACTTTATTTGTCCAGATTGCCTGGTTTTGAGTCAAGTGCCATACAGCCCGTGGACTGAGAGGGCTACGGCTGCTGCTGCTTTATCAGAGATCAGTAAATAGGCAGCAACACTAGACTGGCTCGCCAACTTAGAAATGTGCAGATGGAGAGTGTCCGCGTCTGGTGACTCTGACAAGCGCTTTGCAAACAAGTGATTAGCCAACATTTACCGCGCGCAGACCTGGAATAGGTGTCAGCATCTCTGCCTGTCTGTGCCTCAGGCGCATGGAAAACGAGCTTGATTGCCATGGGTCGTGTTGTTGCCCTTCTTGTCATAACTAATTGGGAGCTCACTGAGGGGAAACAGGCGCTCTACAGTAAACTAACAGCTATATTTGAACTCCGCGCTGAGTTCAAAGTGCATAAAAGGTTCTCCGTAGCCTGTCATGGATACATTATTTCTCTTCAACAAACTCAGAAAAAAGAATAATAATAATAATTAGACTAAATTCTCTTGCAATGTCGGTTCTTAATGTGCTGAGGAGAAGCAGCCAAACATTAGCATGTCAACAAGTTCACGGTGACACTGAGGACACAACAGCAGATGCTTTGCAGACAGAGTTCAGCAGATATGAAGTCAAATGGATCTTACTAGCCGTCGAAGTGCTTCCTCAAATTACAGGTCATTTTTACCTGGTCTATATAGCATAGGTATGGTTGAGGGTGACGGCAATCAATAGTTTAGTAAACAACGGATACAATAAAAAAAAAAAACATGCAACCTTTGCATGGCAGCTGATAAAACGCCGAGGGCATCATCAGATATTGTATTGAATAGTTTTGGAGTGGATGACGCACATTAATCCCCCTGCAAGGATTCAATACCTCATCAAATGTGTGTAATCGGAGTTGTGCAGGTGCTTTTGTTTTAAAATCAGAATTGATCGACACTGGTCTGTCAACATGTCGTGACATTTGAATTTAAATATTGCGGAATCCTTTTGAAACACGGGTGCAAGAAACCGCCATTCTTACTCGAGCGTCGGAGTGGACATAATTATACATCTCGTCTTAGGAGGTCCAGCCAGGGGTCACCGGCTGATGTAATCTGGAGGGGGCACTTACCATATAGATTGCAAAGACACATTTGAACCCTCATCCACTGCATGCCAGAGCTGCCTGATCACCATAGAGACACTTGATGCCTCTTTAAGCAAAGCCCGTAGTGGGAGGCTGTCAGTTTAGTAGGTGCGTAACGGAGAGCGTCAGAGCCTTAAACTACTTTCGATTTATTTTCTTTCTAAGAACTCATGTCTGTTTATAAACCAAACTACATGTCTGCACCATCTGGCTTCAGAGTTTATTTAAATGATTAACCAATTATCACATTTTCTGTCCACAGACTAATCAGGTAACCAAGGTTTGGACACTACAGCATAAATTTAAATGTGAATATATTACCTTAAAAGTGTAATAGAAAACGAGGCTCATTAAAACTGAAACTACCTCTTCTGAATGTGCTACTACTCTGTGCACAACTCCAGCCTCACACTGCGAACAGCTTCCTGTACAAAATAATGAGATCAATACACCAGCGGCGGAGAATCTACTGAGAAAAGGTTAATGTGTCTGTTCTGCTCTCATTAAGGGGCTGAACCCTACAACTCTGTCAGAAAATGTGAGGAACACTGAAGCTATTACAAACCTGACTGTACCAAAGTGGCCTGCCCCACTGAATAATACAGAGCTGAGTCAGTGTGATCGTGTTTGCTTGTTCTCTCTGTGGATGGACAGATGTACCGCCGAGGCTGTGACTAAAGGACAAACCCCCGAGTGTGTTTCAACACTGTGACATCCTCTCTGCTGACGCTCGACTGGCTTCCTAGAAAGACGGGAGGGAGAAGTTGGAGCTGGTACACAGAAAGCTGCACCAAAGCTCTGCAGGAGGTTCAGTGCTCCTCCTCGTAGAGTCGCTTGTTCCGTCATCGCTTTGAGTGTTTTTACTCTTAGCATGTATGGCAACCCATTAGTGCCACAGCAGACACGCAATAGTGCGGTATGCTTCATCACTGTTCTTTGCGTGAAAAGGTTGCACAGACCTCCTTTTCACTGAAGAAGAAAAACAGCCATTCCCTGTTATTCATTCATCAAAGCTCTGCTGTAAAAGCTTTCAAGCCATCTCTCATACCATGTAAATCAGGATCGAGGAGATCGCTAACATAAGATGCTGCACTAGAACTGGCTTCAGATACCATAGATTAGATTTGTTATTTCCTCTAAGAAATGCTAAAATCTCACAATGTTGTTTTTAATACTTTTTTTTACTGTCCTCTTCTTCCTGCTAATTACATTCTTGTTATGGTTTCTGGTCGCAGGTCTCTCTTGTAAGAGAAATAAGATTAAGCGGCCCACTCTTTATTGTCGTCATCCATCTTTCTTCCCTCCTGCCAGCCTCTTCCCACCCTACAGACAGCTTCTGCCGCCTTATGCACAGACATAGCATCCCAATAACCAACTCTCTATCCTCTCACTCTCATTTCGTCACCTCCTCCAGGCTGTCCATGCAGGTCACAGACGGCTCGAGCTCAGATGCTTGCCAGTTGGAGCAGAGCAACTGAGTAACGCACGTGGCTCGGGGTCACAGCGTGAAACCAGAGCCACTGTTCGTGGCATCCAGCTCCTGCTCAGCAGCCTGCTTTTTCTGGTCCACTGAACTGGCATTTTGATTGGGTGGACGCAGGGCAAAAGGTCATACCCGTCGCCACAGGAAACACATCTGATCGGCTCGGCAGAAAAAATGGTGTATCACCGTCAGAGGACATCTCGTGATCTAGGAGCATGGGAGAGCGTTAGCACATAAATGAGAAAAGTATACTCCTGTGTGCACTACTCTATTATTGATCGACATTTTTGTCAGCTGAAAGCTCCCGCATGGCATTTCAGATTCATGATTTTCATTTTCAAGCAGCATATTACAGACAGCCAAATGTGGGTCAACTCTACCAGAAAGCATAGCGTGGAGATAATAAACCATATAACTCAAGTTAGGAAGAGAATAGAAGGGTAGAGCATGTCAGCTATACAGTCCATTTCAACAGGCACGCTGGTTGATGAGAAAAGGGAAAATGACCAGATGATGCATTTGCACTTTTTTAAAGATGGTGAAATATTGAATATGGCACAGATTACTCTCAAGGATGCAAAGTGCCTCCAAGAAAGGTAGAAAAAACATGTCAAAAGATAAGAAAAAACAAGAAGGAAAAAGACAACAACAACAAAAAAATCAGTTATTTAAAAACAAAAATCTCCCTCAGCTTTGCGCAGACCACTGAAACGGCTCAAAGCTCACAAGAAGCAAGCTGATGCTGCCCCCTAGAGGCATTAAACAGAAACAAACTGAATTCATGGTGGAAAAAATATTGTTCAGATCTGCAAGTGCAGATCTTTATCCTCCCCTATTTGAACATGTGCAACTAAGACAAAAAACCAATGCAGGCTTGAGAGAAATACATCCACCACCATAGGCATCACTGAATGTCAGGGTGTTATTGCCCCACAATGAAATAAAACACCAGAAATAGAGCAAGACGTACTCACAGGAAGCCAGAAAGTAATTGCACTCTGGAGCAGGCACAATTACTGCACCACATACAACTTTCTTACCTCAGTTTACTTGCAGATTTATATTCTAGATTAAATAGATTTTTTGGCAAGTGGTTGAGTTTTCCAAAAACATGGATATGTAGGGATATATCTTGTGTAAAGCTGCAAAGACACAGGCAGTGTTTCATTCAGAAAAGAGACAATTGAACATTTAAGGTTTATTAAAGGGTGTTAAAGTCACTTCCCTGTCTGTACAGACTTTAAAAAACCGAATAAGGCTATTTTATAAAGAAAAAAAATCCATATATAGATGCATTTTTACCCTTTTTCCATTCACCATCACTTAGAAAAGTATCAGCTTGATTTATATCATACTTGTCCTGGATATTTACAACAGCAAACCGCAGAAAAGCATGAACTTCTTCATTAGTGAAATCATCTGCCTGATTTGTCTCCAACTTGATGATAACGCGTGAGTGATTATCAAACACCATTCAGGTACGTGATGCAGTATAAATAATACTGTGATCTGTTTATAAATTAGAAACGTCGTCGCTGAACTCCAGCTCAGGAGCAAGTCAGAATACTTTTATTTCTGGGTTTTGGTTATTTGCACACCTTTCTTTACTGACAGACCAAAGTCCTTGGTCTGAACACTGAATTATTCTCTTTCAGTACGACTGCAGATCACAGTAAACTTTTGAATACAAAGATTATAACATCTCAACTCTGCCAGTAAAGATTCTGCAAATCAGCCACACATGCTTCATATGACCACGGCATGAAAGGATAAAGAGGCACAGCCCTGATATTCCTGAAAGGTTTTAACACAAAAAAGTAAAACCAATTTTAGCCAAAAGCTGAAAAATTACCCTCAAGACATGTCTTATGTCACTCAAGTGTCCTCGTCTTGAATAGAGTGGCGTCTTTTCCTATTA